AACATCTAGACCCCTTCCCCAAGTATGTTCCAATCTACCCATCTCACTAATGAAAATAATAAGAACTTTAACCAAGTGAATTAAACATAATCCAAATGGTTGGAAGGCTCCTGGTTTGGACCCCTGTTTGGGATAACAGTGGCTATAATGGGGGATGTTGGCTGAGTGCTGAAGCTTATCTTGGGCCTGTGAGGGGGAATCCTGATCCATGGTGGTCCAGTGGGGGAGTCAGCATGTCTGCACCCCCAGTGTGTCCAGACAGCTACGTCTGGTCGGTTCAGTCCGCATGATTAAGGCTTTACCATATATTTGAGAGCTGACCCTGTAAGAGGAAGCCCCTGTCGGCCTCAGCCACACAGCGAGAGAATGGGCTGGCCAGTGAGGGAGATCCCCACCAGTAATGCTGCCTCTTTCCTGCATGCTAAGCCATGGCCCTGCTGACCTTGTGGCAAATCTGGTCCTGGTTCCATGACATGTTCCATGGATAAGTCAGTCACATACATGTGTACTTGGGAATCTGCTTAGAAAGTAGCATATGAGTGCATGTAAACTCTGGCATTCATTTCTCAGCAGTATGTATTTGTATTTAATCTCACTGTATCCACATGAAGTCACACTCATTGTGTGTGTGGCTATAAAAGAACAGCCTAACGAAAGATATTAATCAAAAGATAAAGGTGTCTGTGTAAAAAAACAAAAAAAAACAATCGTTATTAGGTTGCTGTTCTTGAATGTTCAATTTGTTACTTACACTCAGAGAGAACTTTAGTGGGTTGGAATCTTTTTGCCGCCCAATAATTTCTTTGTAAGTTTTTTCTATATCAAGAAAGAAGTATATTAGATAACAAATTACGGTGTGGTTAAAAACGCGCTGTCACTTATTATTTGAGAAATGTTTCTAATAAAAACAGAGAGCAGCTACATCACTACCAAATTATTATTATGTTTGTGTTAAATGCATAACAATTGATAAATACCTACAAACATAAAAAAGATAAAAGGGCAATTGTGTTAATAGATAACTATTCCGGGAGAAATAAATGGTTCAATTATTAACATATGTACAGTCTACAGAATTATATGATAAATATTTGACCATTTCAGAGATTCTGTAATATAACTTAAAGGTTGCTAGAGACCTCAAACAATGTTATCTTCATAGAGTGGTTCTGGTGTACAGATCATGCCCCTGCAGTCTTACTTCTGTACCATTTAGGAGTTTAATCACTTCATGCAGCTCTAGCCATACCTTCCTTTATGTAACTTACACAGTCACCCTACACATATTCTGTATTTACATCAAGAGATTAAAGTTTACACTTCCTTCATTGCACAGTCTGTTTCATATAGAATTTCTAATCCCCTGCTCTTTTAATAGCCTGCTAGACCCTGTAGGAGCCTCATGTGTGATTAAAGTTCAATTTTCAGAGTTGGAGATAAAAGCTTCTGCAGTAGGTTTAAGATCCAATTGAAAATTAAACATTTGTTTTTCATGCAGGCTGTGTCAGAGTCTCAGAGTCTAGGGGAGATGTAGCTAGGGCTGCATAAACAGAAACAAAAGTGATTTTACTTCTGAATGACAGAGAAATAAGCAGTGAAACTGCTGGGATGTAACCTTACACTGAAACTGCTTCATTGAGCTAAAGCTTATTTTGGTGCGTATAGTATCCTTTTAATTTAGAAGTGCAAAAATATAATTTTGGATAATAAATAAAATGTCTTACTTACCGCCTTACAGAAAACTTTGTTTAAGAGCCTTTTAATACCATCGTTATTCTTAAAATAAAGAAACACATATAATTCATGTAATTGATACTTTGATGGATTTAGACACATTTTCTTTAACCCCTTTACTACAGGAATCGTGTATACACAACTCCCATGTAATATTCTCAGATCCCAAAACAGTGTATACACAGTTTTAATACAGAGACATTACTGCCCTGACAGCAAAGCTAGCACTAACATTATAGCACCAGCTCAGCTGAGCCCCCCTGCAGCAACATGGGTTAGAGACTGGTGGGGAGAACATTCACAGCAGTCTGCACCAAGCCAGTGATGCAGATCTTCCTGGAAACCCACCTGACCACCAGGGAGCCCACATGAAACGTTTCCTCACATGCCCAAAGTTAGCAGGAGGGGGGCCAGAGCAAAATAAAAACTATGCATTGTGGGAGGAAGCTCGAACTTCCTCCCGTGTGCACTATGTGAGGAAGAGAAACACAGCCAACTCACCCACCCCAATATTACCCCCCAACTCCACCTGTCACATTGAGTCAGTCACCCTATATCACACACAGTCACCTACCACACAGACACCCTCATACACACACAGTACAGACACCCTCATACCCACACAGTCTCTCCTCACACACAAACCAGCCTCAACTCAAACACAGCAAACACATCAAGACAACAGCAAATGTTTAAACAGCAACTAGATGCATAATTGCAAAAACAATATTTAAGGATATCATTTTTCAATGTAGGGTAAGTACTTCTGGGGTCAAGAAGGAATTTTTTCCTAGTTTGTTGCAAAATTGGAAGCGCTTCAAACTGGGTTTTTTGCCTTCTTTTGGATCAACAGCAAAACCATATGTGAGGAAGGCTGAACTTGATGGACGCAAGTCTCTTTTCAGCTATGTAACAATGTAAGAATATGTAACTACGTAACTTTTCAGGACACCCAAAATGCTCTGTATTCTGTTTTTTCCCCTATAAATGGTTTGGTAGTAAAGGGGTTAATATGAAATTAAAACAGTAAAAGTCCTGCTATGTAAGTAAATACCTAATATTGTGAAATTACTATATATGGTTATGCATGTGATAAAAATGAAAATTAGAATAAGATATATCATCTTGCTTTATTCATTTGAAATATACACATATATATATCCAAACGCACCACAAAGTGTTGGCCTATGCGGACGATCTTCTTTTCCTAGTCCAAGAACCCACCAGATCACTACAGGAAATCAAACAGGAATTTGAGACCTATGGCAGGATATCCAACATGCGCATCAACGACACCAAATCGGAAATTCTAGGCCTAACAATCCGATACCCGCAACAACTCGAACTTCGGCAACGCTTTCCATACCGATGGTGCACGACCAAGATGAGATACCTGGGGATATGGCTCACGCAAGACACAACGGACCTCTACTCTCACAATTACCTACCGCTTCTGCGAACAGCACAGGCCGAACTCCAAGCATGGAGTACAACATACATCTCTTGGCTGGGACGTATAAACGCGGTAAAAATGACCCTGCTACCCAGGTTCCTATTTATCTTCCAAACGGTACCCATAGAGGCGCCAAAGTCATTCTTCACCACCGCCCAAGCCATAATCCGTAATTTCATTTGGAAAGGGAAGCCCCCCCGAATCGCCCACACTCAGCTAACCCTCCCCAAACTCAAAGGGGGCCTGGCTCTCCCAGACCTGCGGAAATACCACCTAGCGACACACCTCACTCGAATAATCAACTGGTCAGTAAAGACCAGGGACAAACCCTGGGTACACCTGGAGGCAGATGCCACCAAATGCGACCTCACGACCCTCCCATGGATCATGAAAGAAGCCACCAAACAACTACCGCACGCCAACCCATTCGTGAAAGCCACCCTACGCATCTGGCACCAGACTGGCCCCAAACACTATCTTACGACCAACCCCGGCCCGCTACTTCCCTTAAAAGGCAACCCGGACTTCCCGGCGGGCGGCATGGGCCCAAATGCGCGCCCAGTAACCGGCAACACGACTCTCCGAATGGTGGATATCATTTCACCCCCATTCACAATCAGGCCGCTAGAGACCATCTTCCCGGACCAGAGACACACATTCGCTCACAAGCTGGCGAGGGAACAAATGTCCCACTATGCACACTCCATCCCCCAGCGCCCATACTTGACAAGAGATTGCACAGAGTTTGAGACCCTGTGCAGACAGGACAAAGCCCCACCGAGAGCAATCTCCCTGATATACAAATTCCTAGTAACGAACAGATATCTCTTGGCCCCCCCATGCATCAGACGATGGGAAGAGGATCTAGAAGAAGAACTCAACGACGCGGACTGGGACAAAATCATCTGGCACGTTCAAAAGACCCCGAGCTCAGCTAGACATCAGGAAAACTCATACAAAATCCTCACCAGGTGGTATATCACCCCCACCACCCTCCATGCACGCCACAACTCAATACCGGCCACGTGCTGGCGATGCGGAGAGGAGGACGGAACATTCCTCCACATCTGGTGGGGCTGCACCCTCATCCAGCCGTTCTGGGAAGCGATACGACAAGTCATCCACACAGTGACGGATGACATCCCACCCATGTCACCAGCCTTCTTCCTACTACACCACACGACAATGCCCACTCCGACGTATAAAAAATCAGTGGTGCCACGCCTGCTCAATGCGGCGAAAACGACTATCCCCATATACTGGAAACAATCACGTGCCCCCCCACTCAGACACTGGGTGGAGGAGGTGGAAGACATAAGAAAATTCGAGGACCTGAAAGCCACCACGGCAGCGGCGAAAGAAATCAAATGACTAGATGGCTCCACTGGATAAGACACATTGCCACAGATGAATTCCTACAATACCTGAACCCACCTTGAAACCTGGGATACGCAACCACGAGGCATCCGGGGGCCTGCACCTGGGGCGACATGAAGGCGGGTCACCCTCAACCACACCCCTCCCACCCCCCCCCTAGCGGGTTCCGACCTCGCACCACTCACCCACTGACAGGAGGCAACTAGAACCATACTGCGGACCGGACCCCGTAGGGCCACAGCCCCCAGGGCAACAGGCAGTTACCCACGGACCTGCCTCATCCGAGACTCAGACCCACCCCCCACCACCGCATGAAGACATGACTCCACGACCACACACTACCACAGAGGAGGGGGCACCACTGCACCCTACGACCAGCCCACACAAGCCATATACCTCCACAGGCAACCCAAACGCAAATGCAGGCGACAATAAGCACCAGAAGGCAGCGATCCGAGACACAGCCCACAAGGAGCATAATCACACGTACACATACATACACGGGTTTCGCAACCATCAGAGACATAGGTTAGACAACAACTGCCTCCCTAAACCACCAACACAAAACACAAACAACGCAGCCACAAAGGGCCTCGGGCACCATAACGACCACCCGGACAACCTAAAACAATGACGACAATCACCACCTAGGCGCACGGTTCACGCCCCATGCACAGAGACAAAACACAAACAACGCACCATCTACAGACACACAAGCTGAATTCCCACCAAAGCCCCTAAGGGAAATGGGAAATCACGCCCCAAGACTAGCCTTAGACCTTCACACCATCACCACCATACCTCTCTGGTAACGACTCCGTTTACCTGTCTACCCTTAGCAACACACAGCTAGATGACAAACAACAAGACAAATGTAAAAATAATCTAAGCCCACAACCTGAACGAAGTCATGTGGATTCCTAGAGCTAGTATCTGTTGCAAACCCTAGTTCCTAATGTACCTGCACGTTTTATCTGTAACGCCTCTGCGCAGGCAACCATGAGCTTCCCATGAAACATGAATGACTACCTGCTTGTATCTGCAATGCCAATTACAAAAGAAGCATTTAAAACAAACCCGCTTTGCGCAGGCAACCGAAGGAATACTGTGTTATATTAATGTTGCAGCCCCTGCGTGGGCAATCAATTGCCTTGTTATAAATCAGTTTGATGCCTAAATTCCTAATATGCTTAAAAATAAAAATATTCAAAACACATATATATATCCACACACTTATGCACACACATATACGTATATACTCAAACTTTAACCTTGCACTCAACAGCATCAATACCACATGCTACTCCTTGTCATTAACACGAGGGCAGTACTCAGGGGTCTTTGTCTTCAAGTTTTTATTTTGAGCTTTATTGAATTCTCAGATATAAACAGGTAAATCATTTCTTCAGGTCTTCATAAAAATCTTCAGACTGAAACATTGATTTGCCAGTTTATAGATAGATAGATAGATATAGTGTTCAAGTAGAGATTGTAGCCGTATTAGTCCAGTGATGTAGATGTAAAAAACAGATAAAATATGTATCTTATAATACCTTTTTTATTGGACTAACAGATTTTTTTAATAACAAGCTTTCGAGAGAACCTCCCTTTCTCAAGTCTGTGTCGTCTTGCTCAGAAATGCTTCAGACTTGAGAAAGGGAGGTTATCCCGAAAGTTTGTCATTAAAGAATTATGTTAGTCTAATAAAGGTATTACAAGACACAAATTGTATCTTTTTTAAAATATATATATATATATACACACAGGATCTCACAAAAGTGAGTACATCCCTTACATTTTTGTAAATATTTTATTATATCTTTTTATGTGACAACACTGAAAAAATGACACTCTGCTACAATGTACTAAGTGTGCAACCTGGATAACAGTGTAAATTTGCTGTCCCCTCAAAATAACGAGACACTGCCATTAATCTCGGTCTACGAGATACTGCTCTCTCCTGGTGCTCTTCCTACCTCTCCTAGCGCTCATTCAGTGTTTCTTTCTCAGGCTCTTCCTCTTCTCCCCAATCCCTCTCTGTTGATGTTCCCCCAAGGTTCTGTCCTTGATCCCCTATTGTTCTCAATCTACACTGCCTCCCTTGATAAACTTTTCAGCTCCTTCGGCTTCCAGTATCATTTCTATGTGGATGACACGCAAATTTATCTGTCCTCCCCTGATTTTTCACCACTCCTCTTGACTCGTGTCTCTGACTGCCTTTCTGCTATTTCCAACTGGATGGCTGCTCATTTCCTTAAACTGAACCGGTCCAAAAGAGAACTTCTGGTCTTTCCTCCCTCAAGTGTTGCTACTCCCTTGTCTGTGTCCCTCCAAGTCAATGGCGCTACCATCTAATCTACCTCTAAGGCTCGCTGCCAAGTGTTGTCTTTGACTCCGAGCTCTCCTTCACCCCTCATGTCCAATCAATCGCCAAATCCTGCCACTTCTATCTCAAAAATATTGCACGCATCCGACCCTATTTAACGCCAGATGCAGCTAAGGTGCGGGTCCATGCCACTGTCCTCTCTCGACTTGACTACTGCAATCCACTTCTCAGTGGTCTTACATGTTCACAACTTGCCCCGTTACAGTCTATAATGAATGCGGCGGCGAGGCTCATCTTTCTGTCCGCCCGCACCTCCCACGCCTTCCCTCTTTGTCAGTCCTTATATTGGCTTCCCGTAAGATTTGGTTCTCAATTTAAGATCCTGATACTTGCTTACAAATCTCTACACAATCCTGCTCTGACCTACTTATCCTCACTATTACACAAATATGTTCAATCTAGGCCATTACGCTCTGCTGGAGACCTACGTCTAACCTCTGTTTGTACTCCCACTTCTGATGCTCACCTTAAAGACTTCTCTAGGGCTGCACTGTTCCTATGGAACGCCCTACCCCTCTCTGTTAGACTTTCACCCAATCTCCACTCCTTCAACTGAAAATGTACTTCTTTAGGAAAGCGTATTAATTAAACTGTGAACAGCTTTCCCTCCCGGCACCCTGTTTCCTCTCCGGAAACTATAATTAAAACAAAACACTAAGCCCTCATTGAACACTATCCTAGTAACCTACTTCTCTACCCTATCCTTACCTTTTGTGTCACATTACCCCACTCCCTCTTGCATGTAAGCTCTTTGAGCAGGGCTCTCAATCCCTCTGTTCCTGTGTGTCCAACTTGTCTGGTTACAAATACTTGTCTGTTAGTCCACCCATTGTATAGTGCTACAGAACTTGTTGGCGCTTTATAACACAATAATAATAATAATGATTAATGTCTAAACTGTTGGCAACAAACACCCCTTAAGTGGAAAGGTCCAAATTGGGCCCAACGTGTCAATATTTTGTGTGGCCACAATTATTTTTCAGCACTGCCTTAACCCTCATGGGAATGGAGTTCACCAGAGCTTCACAGGTTGCCACGGGAGTCCTCTTCCACTCCTCCATGACATCATAGAGCTGTTGGATGTTAGAGATCTTGCGCTCCTCCACCTTCCATCTGACGATCCTCAATAGGGTTTAGGTCTGGAGACATGCTTGGCCAGTCCATCACCTTTACCTTCAGCTTCTTTAGCAAGGCAGTGGTCGTCTTGGAGGTGTGTTTGGGTCGTTATCATGTTGTAATACTGTCCTGCAGCCCAGTCTCTAAGGAGAGGGGATCATGCTCTGCTTCAGTATGTCACAGTACATGCTGGCATTCATGGTTCCCTCAATGAACTGTAGCTCCCCAGTGCCAGCAGCACACATACCATGACACTCCCACCACCATGCTTGACTGTAGGCAAGACACACTTATCTTTGTAGTCCTCACCTGGTTGCCGCCACACACGCTTGACATCATCTGAACCAAATAAGTTTCTTGGGCTCATTGGACCACAGGACTTGGTTTCAATAAATCAATGTCCTTCGTCTGCTTGTCTTCAGCAAATGGTTTGCGGGCTTTCTTGCGCATCATCTTTAGAAGAGGCTTCCTTCTGCAGACCAGTTTGATGGAGTGTACGGCGTATGGTCTGAGCACTGACAGGCTGACCCCCCACCCCTTGAACCTCTGCGGCAATGCTGGCAGCACTCATACGTCTGGAACTTATCCTGTAAAACCGCTGTACAGGCTTGCCCACCATGCTGCAGCTCAGTTTCAGGGTCTTGGCAATCTTCTTGTAGCCTAGGCAACCTTCGGCACCCCAGATGTTTTGGACTACACCTCCCATGATGCTTTGTCAGCATGATGGGTGTAAGAGCATTATGATGGGATGTAGTCCACAACATCTGGTTGCCTATCCCTGGCCTAGGTCATCTTTATGTAGAGCAACAATTCAATTTTTCAGATCCTCAGAGAGTTCTTTGCCATAAGGTACTATGTTGAATTTCCAGTGACCAGTGTGAGAGCGATAACACATAATTTAACACACCTGCTCCCTATTCACACCTGAGACCTTGTAACACTAACGAGTCACATGACACTGGGGAGGGAAAATGGCTAATTGGGCCCAATTTGGACATTTCCACTTAGGGGTGTACTCACTTTTGTTGCCAACAGTTTAGACATTAATGGCTGTGTGTTGAGTTATTTTGAAGGGACAGCAAATGTACAGTGTTATATAGGCTGTACACTTATTACTTTACATTGTAGCAGAGTGTCATTTCTTTAGTGTTGTCACATGAAAAGATATAATAAAATATTGACATAATTGTGAGGGGTGTACTCACTTTTGTGAGATACTGTGTATATATATATATATATATATATATATATATGTGTGTAAAATATAAACTGCAAAAAAGATGCCATGTATAGTTTCACTTTTAACAGTCTTTAAGAAGAAAATTATATAAAAATTAAAAAGCAAACATAATATATTAATCTATTTATTATCAATCATTACCTTAACTTCCGACATTATGTCATTCATCACCGCATTAACAGCAGCTTGGTCACTGGCAGTCATCTGTATCAGTAATATAATATTTGAAGTTTTATACCATTACATGTAGAGTAATAAGTAGTAATGCATTTAAAAAGGCATACACAACTACACTGAACTCTTTTTTAACCTCTTCACTACCTGCAAATGTGTGCACACTATGTATTATATATTGCCCTGCAAATAAAAACAGACTTATTGCACATATCTAAGAAGTGAGAATTAATTTATCAGATGATACTATGTAAACAGACCTACAACATTAAAATAACAAATATTAAAGGATCACTATAACGTCAGGAAAACAAACTAATTTTCCTGACACTATATAAACCTTTGGTCCCCCCTACCTTCAGCGTCCCCCTCTCACTGGGCTGAAGGGGTTAAAACCAGTTCAGCCACTTACCTTTATCCAGTGCCGGGCTCCCTCACCGACGTCAGCTTCCCGAGTGGAGAGGAATGCGCGGCAAGAGCCGCATGCGCATTCAAACAGTCCATAGGAAAGCATTTCTCAATGTTTTCCTATGGAAATTCTGCACGCTGAATGCGATTTTTGCATCCAGCATCGCAGAAGCGTCTGTAAAGGCGATCAGGAAGACAGCCACTAGAGGCTAGATTAACCTTGCTATGTAAGCATAGCAGTTTCTCTGAAACTGCTATGTTTACATCTGAAGTGTTAAAACCTGGGGGACCTGGCACCCAGACCACTTCATTGAGCTGAAGTGGTCTGGGTGACTATAGTG